GTACTGTCTATCCGCTGGAACTCACGCGATCTGGGGAGAGCATCATTTGAGTTAAGGTCCGTACCCATGCGTTTGGCGTCAATCTCATAGCGTTCGGCAGGCCTTGGCCCTGCCGGTCTGGGCGGTATGATGATCTGCTGTTGCTGCGCCTGTTGTCCGCCGCTTTGGTTGTCTTGTGCCGCAACAGGATTACCTATGGCGATGAACGCAACCAGAACGATCCATAAACAAGCACCTTCTTTTTTAAACAACGCCACTATTTTGTTTTTTAATCAAACGGCTGACGAATAAGCCAGCCGTTGCAGGGATTACCAAATATAGAATGTTCTGTATAAAGCGTCCGATAATAAAAAGCAAAAGCCGGTGCCGGCGCTCCTATTTTATCAAGATTTTAGCTATTGACGGTTTGCGCCTGCAGGTCCCGCAGAGTGGTGCCATCCATCAGCAATCCTTTGGTGAGTGGCTCCCAAAGCATATCAGAAAGGCCCAATATTGCCCCACTGGCTACGGTCAGATTACGCACAGTTTCCCCAATGCCGGAAGTCGCGGTATTCGGCACCTCGTTATGCCCGTAATATTCTGCGGTAACCAGCCGGCTGTCGCGGGTGAGCAGGAAGGTGCTGCTGGATTCACCGGAGAAGAAATGTGCCGTGGTTCTATTATCGCCACCAGGCACCGGGCAAGGCATCATGGTCAGCACACATTGCTCTTTGCGCTTGCCGGATGAAAACTTCAGGGTCTTTACTTCCACCCAGTCGTAGCCCGCTCTATCCTCATTGTCAGGACCCGGCAGGCCGATGCGTACATAATCGCCCAGCTTTACTTTTCTACGTTGCAGCTTCAGCTTTCCATTCATTACCTGGAACATGCCTTTGCCGGCGGTGGAAATAGTATCCCAATGATTAATGTTCAGCAGGCGGGTAATGGCATGGTCATAACAGAGGCGGGCATCTTCAACACTTACGAATTTACGTACAGCAGAATATCTCTTGCGGATACCCTTGGTATGTTGCGGGATAGAACGTTCGATCATGTTCATAACACTATAAAATTAAGCGGTAAGGGCCTGGCAATTGCCTATTTCTAAGATAGCCTAAAAAATCTGTTCCATCGAAAATTTTGTGGTAAATAAAAAAGGGTTGGGACCGGTTAAAACCGGTCCCAACCCTTTACTGAATATTGTTACATTTATACGCCTACCATCAATGGCATGAGCAGCATCAGCACGTCTTCATGCTCCCCTTTTT